CAGCCTCCAAAGCCACAGAGAAACCCTGTCTTGAAAAAAACAAACAAAATTTTGCTTTTTACAATTATTCATTAATAGGGTTTTTCAGTTAAATTAGTGTTCGTATTTAGTCCATCATTTCTCTCTGGCACTTTCTGATGGTATTTACTGAAACTCTGCACCCCCTAGATACTGCCAGTTTTGTGTAGCTGGGAAGAGTATGGAACAATGCACAACCAAAAGTCATGTACATCTCATCATTTAAAAGTTACCTCAGGAGGGCGGGGCCAGCCGAGCCATGGGCCGTGGTGTGGGCTAAGCTGGTGCCCCTGGCTTTAGACTGGATCCCACAATGTTTGCAGAGATGTTCAGGCACACCGGAGCTGTTTACACGCAATGAATGGGGGCAATGAGAGCAGTGGAGCAGACAGAGCTGGGGGTCCTGTGGCCACATCTGTCCCCATCGGTTGGCAGCGCTGTGTGCGAAAAGATGCTGTGTTCTATATCAGCCCAAGTGGACAGAGCTGTCTTCCTTGGAGCAAACCCGGAGCTATCTCCTCAGCGATGGGACCTGCAAGTGTGATCTGGAGTGTCCACTCAATGTCCTCATGGTTTTCAACTTTGACCCTTTGGCTTCGGTGACCCAGGGTGGGGCTGGGGTGGGGCCCGCATCAGAGGAGGACATGACCAAGCTGTGCAACCACAGGCGGAAAGCTGTTGCCATGGCAACTCTGTACCGCAGTATGGAGACCACCTGCTTACACTCTTCTCCTGGAGAGGGAGCAAGCCCCCAAATGTTCCACACTGTGTCCCCAGGGCCCCCCTCTGTCCGCCCTCCTTGTCGAGTTCCTCTTATAACTCCTCTTAATGGGGGTCCTGGCTCCCTGCCCCCAAAACCACCTTCAGCTCCGCAGTCCTTGCTCCCTCTAACAGGTCCTGCAGGGCTCTTCCCACCACCAGGATTTCCTGATCCAGTTCCCTCTGGGGGCAGCAGCAGCCCTTGTTTCCTCCCAAGAGGCAATGCTCCCTCTCCAGCCCCACCTCCTCCACCTGCTATCAGCCTCAATGCTCCCTCATACAACTGGAGAGCCTCTCTCCGATCCAACCTGGTGCCCTCTGACCTGGGCTCTCCTCCAGCCCCTCATGCCTCCTCCTCGCCACCTTCAGACCCT